TCCACGAAACCCGAGGAATAAAGTGGCAAGAGTCCTTCCTGCAATATTTCGACGTATTTCGCAAAATTTATGTTACCAACGCACTCCACTAAGCTAAATCTCCCATCAACCCAAACAGTTCCCCAAACCATCACGCTGAAACCACCATGCTTCACAGTTGGCTGCAATCTGTTGCGCCAAAACTCTTGGTGAGGTATTCTCCAGATCCATATCCTTCCACTGTCCGAAAATTGAGCGAATCTTGATTCGTCTGAGAACAATACGATCTTCCAAAAATCCAAAGGCTTGGTCATAATATCACTTGCCCACTTCTTTCGTCTGACTATGTTGGCAGGTTTTAATAAGGGCTTCCGTCTAGCTGCTCTGTAACGATAACCCAATCTGTGGAGAATCCACTGAACAGATTTCGGGCTCATCCCACCAACTTTGGCCACTTCTGCAGTCGTTAATCTGGGATCCATTTCTATGCTCCTCTTGACAGCCCTTTTTGTCCTCTCCGATGGACCAGGACGACCCAGACGCTGCTAAGTTGTTTCCTTGCCGTGTTTCCTGAACTGCACGATGATTGTGTTGACTGTCGAAAGCGGGATTCCCAAATTCTGCGAAATTTGCCGCTGACTTATTCCATCATCTGCTTGACTAACTATCATTCCTCTAACAAAATCTGACAATTCAAGAGAACCTTGAGTTCTAGACATGTTGTAGCACAAGATAATTAGTGTGCGGATCATTTTCATTTATATAGTGCTCTGTGAACACAAATTAATTAGCATAAATCATTTAAATGACGAAAAATTAGGTGTCTATTTACTTGTGACCACTCAGTGTATACTTAGTTAAAATCTCAGCCTTATTTTCGTTATTGTAATTTCGTTTAATTTTGAGATGATTTTTTTTTTCAATTAAACATTTAAATGAAATTGAGTGTCTAAATTAGTTGCACATCACCGCTCAGTTTTTGATGTTCGAAAAATTAATAGTTTGTATTTGTTTATTTGTTTTTCTTTCTGTATGTAGTTCTAGGCGAGGAAAAAAAAGAGTCTTTTAAACAAGCTAAGTTACTCGTTCAATTTAGAGAAAATCAAACATAGTATTATAAACCTCAGTTTATGATAATACGGCTAAATGTATAATATTTCTTATGACACCAGGAACGTCAAACAACATTATATTTTGTTACTGAATCTAAACCATAGCAATAAATAAGATAACAGTATTATTCGTTCGCTTTTGTTTTTTTTTATTTGTTTTGTTTCAAAATGTTTCGTTAAACAACACAAAAAGCAATCTGCGCTTAGCCGTCCCTAATTTTGAGCTGATAGGCTACAGGAAAGGCAGCTAGTTAACAACAACATCAGCCAACTCTTGGGGTACTCTTGTCAGACCAAATATATGTTGGATTTGACCGTCAATTTTATAACGCATCCACGGCACCAGAGTGTGGACCGCGTTCTTTGCGGTAAGAAGCCGTGAACCGTAAACACTCGGATTACAAACCGACCACACTAAGTCCACTAGCCCTTCATTCATACATATATATATATATATATAAAGTATTCAAATGAAAAAAAAAGGGAGGGGAGAAATGGATTCAAGTGATTAAGTGGAAGAAGATAATGGTCCACCTTAAAATATATACATGTTGTTGTTTTTTACAAAATATTGCCCAGCGTAACCTAGTGGTTAGTATTTTGTGCTATGAATCGAAAGGCCCAGGACTCGAGACGTGATACATCTGAATATACCATGCATTTTCAAATCTGGGCGCGTTATAGAAGTCACAGTGAATTCCATTATTGGGTTGAAAGAGTCTTACACATTCCTTGTGTCAGTGGGTGCCACTAGCTTGCTGCCTTCCCCCTGGTCAGTTTAGTCCAAAGCTAGTATCTGACCAAGCTGTTTGGAATTAGTTTGGGTATAATAAATTCTACCATAAAGAAAAGCCTTAGCAACGAGTAAATAGAATAAAGTAAATAATTCGGGTATGGAAACCAGATTTTTAGCGTCGTAAACCTGTAAATTTGCCGCTAAGCCACTGGATGGCAAAAATAAAAGTACCAAGTTACATAACATAAAAAAAATAACATTTAAAATCACCGAACTCTAGTGAATAGTTCTATTGCACACGCAAAAACTGGGATAATGATAGTTGACGTGTGTATTTTGAAGAGGTCATCTTCAACTAGAGTGTGGAATTTTATGAAGTATTCCTTCTTTGCCCCCCAGTGGCACAGCGGTATGTCTGCGGACTTACAACGCTAGAATCCTGGTTTCGATACCCGTGGTGGGCAGAGCACAAATAGCCCATTGTGTAGCTTTGTGCTTAATTACAAATAACAATTCCTTCTTGTCTATTATTACAGTGGCATTACCTTTATCTTCAGGCAGAATTGTTACAGTATTGTTTTTCTTTAAGTAGCTGGGGTAAGTTTTTATTTGTTAGGATGGTGTTATAATGGGGTTTACATTTTACGGCTTCCTGAACTGCTGACTAATTTTGATTATGAATTTTTTTTTTATCTCTTCTGATTGGCTATGAGTTGTGTCTTTTGTGGTTGTAGCTATATCTATGGCGCGTTTTTTGTTATGTTAGTCACCACAATATTGGTAAGAGAATCAGTACCGATAAGACCTGAGTGATTTAGCAAGAAATAATTTAAAACGGAGATAAATGAAATAAATATTAATACACACAGATCAATACCAGTGATTTGATTTTCATTTAATACCTTTTTTTTCATGCCTTTTGTGATTTTATAAGGAATTATTTTTATACTTCATATATTCTATCAACCGATTTGATCGACGGCATTAGTATCTGCTTGTATCTTTGTAATAGAGCAAAGCCACCACGAGGAACTGAACCCTCGCATTTACTTACTGCTGTTCCACTAGGGAACAGCATCAGTAAACACACACGCTCGTACTTATCATACAAATTGTTTTTAATCGTGTGATAAAGTAGCTACTTCTTGAGATCATCCAAAAATTATCTTTTCATCTTACTTATGAAATTTTTCTTTCAAGATTAAAACTCTGAAAAATCACTTGCACACAAGTTTAATGTGACAACAACAAATAACGACCAATTCAAGTTCCAAGATCAGGAAACTATTTCGCCCGTCTAGTATGTATCTTAGAGACTCATTTTATATATTCGGTTTATCCAAAGAAACGTTTTAATCGCCAAACAATTCTCCGTTTTTTTTAAAGCTATATTTGTACTTAATACTAAGTTATTTGCTAACAACTTACAGGTACGTGTGTTAATCTATTATTGCATCTATATTGAAAATAAATTACTTTATATAATGATTCTATTTTAGACAGAGACAGCGAGGAAGATCCTGAATATAATATGGCTCGCTGCTTCATTCGTGACAAATTTATGGTAAGAAACTTACAGTTTTTCTGTTATCTAGAGATCAGTTAAGAACTATTTAAGTAAGTTTGTTTGTTTTGAATTTCGCGCAAAGCTACACCACGGCTATCTGCGCTAGCTGTCCCTATCTTAGCAGTGTAAGACAAGAGAGAAGGCAGCTAGTCATCACCACCGACCGCCAACTCTTGGGATACTCTTTTACCAACGAATAGTAGGATAGACCGTAACATTATAACGCCTCCATGGCTGAAAGGGCGAGCATGTTTGGTATGAAGGAACCATGCCGGGCCAATTTAAGTAAGAAAAACATGTATTATGTCCACAGAACTGATAAGCCATGATACACTTAGCCGTAACTAGGGCGTAACTTTACACGGAAGTCATAAGGAGGGCCTAAATACGATGGCCTGCCCAGGGCGCTAGCTTACCTAGTTATGTGTCTGAGGGTGCATAATTACTATTAGAAAGTTGTATCATGTCAGGTTTCGTGTAAATATAACTGGACATTTCAGAAGCGCACTAAAAATTATCAGGTAATTGTATACAGGGGGCAAATAATACTAATACAGTGTCACACTTTAGTTTTAAAGTCAGTTGCAGGTTTAAGAATAAAAAATAACAATATTTAGCCGCTCCCTTCTCAATAGCACTAACATATTGTATAGAAATGTTTACATTTTTAAAGAAATTAGTTAAATGTTTTATTCGGCTCTTGGATCGGCATGGCCAGGTGATTAGGCCGCTCGACTCGCAATTTGTGGGTCGCGGGTTCGAATCCCCGTCACACCGAACATGCTAGCCCTTTCAGCCGTTATAATGTGACGGTTAATCCCACTATTCGTTGGTAAAAGAGTAGTCCAAGAGTTAGCGGTGGGTGGTGATGACTAGCTTCCTTCCCTCTAGTCTTACACTGCTAAATTAAGGACGGCTAACGCAGATAGCCCTCGTGTAGCTTTCCGCGAAATTCAAAATAAAAACAAACCAAACCAAACTATTCGGCTCTTAAAAGTTCAAAAATAACTAATTATTACAAGTGTAACTATTTCTGTATATGTTGCTTGTAAATATGAATCGTAATATTTTAATGTTTCCTTCTTTATGTAATCTTGTCTCTAAATTCAGGAAATAACCAGGAAACCTCAAACAAATATACGCCTGAGCACAACAGAAATATATTACGACTTTAACAGAGAAGCCAAAAACCGAAAGTGCTACTGGCATTTTACCACTGCCACGGACACCGAAAACGTCAAGCGAGTATTTAAGGATATTCATCATATGATAATCATGTCAAACATACAGGCAATTACACCGAGCTGAAGTCGTAGAGGAACTCAATCTTAAGGAGCAGAAATAATTTTATTTTCAAAACTTTTCTTGTTAATAATGTATTAGTGTTTAACTCTAAGGTTCATTTGTCAATTTTGATTTCGAATGTGAATTTATAAATACGGTGTTTTCATTTTTAAAATATCGTAAGTTTATACAAGAAAGATTCCATTTAATGTATCCTGCACCCATTCCAAACCAATAAGAAAAGGATGTTAAGGAAGATTCCATTTAATGTATCCTGCACCCATTCCAAACCAATAAGAAAAGAATGTTGAAGGAAGATTCCATTTAATGTATCCTGCACCCATTCCAAACCAATAAGAAAAGGATGTTGAAGGAAGATTCCATTTAATGTATCCTGCACCCATTCCAAACCAATAACGTAAAGATGTTGAAGGAAGATTCCATTTAATGTATACCTGCAACCCATTCCAAACCTAATAAGTAACTGCTGTACCGTACA